CCCCAACGCCACGCGGTCACCTCGGGTCAGGGCCGCAGCTGCTGCTGAGGGTGGCGCTGGCCCTGTGGGTGGGACACCTTGGGTCAGGCCGTCCATCAGCTCCTACAGGTGCCTGTTCAGGCTGCTGGTCTGCGGGGGGGGGGGGGGGGAATCGTTCCCTCCGGATGTTCCCTAAAACCTCCCCAGCCTCCCGCCCTGAGCGTCCAGGCAGGCGGGGTGGGATTTAGCCACGCCTGTCACGTGAGTCACGGCTGGTTTTCGTGGCACCAAGTTTTTCAAGAGCAAAACCTGCCAGCTTTCCCCTCAGGTCTTTGTTCTCGGCACAAAGGAGGCCATTTACACCGAGGCCGCAAGGAGGCAGGAGCGGGAGGCGGGGCAGGGAGGCCAGCGCTGTGCGCCTGACGCCTTTTCAACGATTTTTGGTTCTGTTCCTTGAAAAAGAGGTGGTTGCCTTGATCGTTAGGTTTATGAAGACACTGGCCTCCCATCGCGGGCGGCCGCTCGTCACCAGCGACCCTGCAGCCCCGCGGGCTCTCGCCTCCCGCACAGGGAAGCAAACACCCGCCTAGCACAGGCCGCAGGTCCCGATTCCACCGCGAAGGCCAGACCCCGAAAGAAGGAGGTTCGGCCACGGAGCCACGCCGGCCGGGCTTCCATTGCCTTTTAGAGGTGAGGGGGCCTCACTGGTTAGGGCGCAGGGAGGCCGGGGGGCGCTCCGGGCCTCTGTCCAGGGGGAGATGGTAGCCGGGTGGCGGCTGGGGATGGAGGGGCAGGAACAGAGCCCGGCCAGGTGGGCGGGGCTGCCCTCTGACCCTGAAGCCCTTCACTGGACAGGAAACCGCCTGCGGGTCCGTCGGGGACACGGGGGCTGTTCCGTACCTGCCCCGACTTCACAGTGCGGTGGGTGCGTGAGTCCCGGCGCCTTTGTGTGAGGTTATTAAAGACGCACTTTCCTGCCTCTGAACAGTGTGTGTGTGTGTGTGTGTGTGTGTGTGTGTGTAAATGGCTGCGAGGGTGAGCGATGACGGCACCTCGTCCACAACTGCGCCCGGATTCACGGCCGAGGAGGCCGAACCCATTTGTTCAGAGCAACTCGGGGACAGCAACACGGGGGGACGCCACGGGCAGCATCCATCACACGCTTCTCAGAAAGCCCACGTCAGCACAGCGACAGCGGCATTACCGCTCGTCACGAGATTAAAAATTAGTCACACGTGGAAGACGGAGCGGCTGCTCGGAGGAGGGAGCTCGGGCTCCCCTGAGCGATGCCCCTCCCGCCCGGGAGTAAACGACGCACGTCTCCTGATGAGTGTTTCGGGGCCGCCATCCAGGTGGTCCCCCCGCGGGGCGAGAGCCCTGCTGCCGTTGACTGGCTGGGCAGGTGTCAAAGCCATTTTGTCAATCACATCGCCCGCCGGACGCGGGGGGCCAGCAGTGACGGCAGCGTCACCCCCTCACATCGATGAGACTCAGAGCCGCCTTCCTGGCTCGGGCCGCAGTGAGGAGCCCCTGGAACGGAGCCTCCCCTTGGACGTGCCACAGGCCACCA